CAAGGCCCCAAAGGCTGAGTAAGACACTTTGGAGGAAAAACAGTTAGAAGGACAGATAGAAAGACTTTGGAAGAAAGACAGACTGACAGAAAGATATTGAAAGACCCGTCATTAGAAAGTTCAGATTGATGATGATACCCTACAATGTTTATCTTGTGAAATGTAATAATGCACTACAACCAGTCTTGTCAAAGCTGCAAAAGAGAATGGGAGGATTTCACCACGGTGGGCTCTGTTGTGAGATGAGGGTTCAGAAAAGGTGTCAGTCCTCAGAGCTGGATTCCATTAAGTCCCTGAAAAAGGTGGCTCTATGTTTAGTTAATTGACAACAGAAATTAATACCAGGGAACTTTGAGTAACCTTTTTTCTGGATCTCAGCTTGTTCTTCTCCGACTTGAAGTAAGTGGCCTCTGGCCCCATCTAGCCACAAGCCTCCATTTCCGAGCCAAACACCACTCCCAGGAGCTGTCTTCCCAACTCTTGCCACATATCTGGACTCAGTTCTTTAGGGTTCAGAGTCCGTCTTGCTCAGAAGCATTTCAGAGGATTACGATTTCAGGAACACTTTGCATTTTCATAGAGGCTTTCAAAGTCAGGTTGGCTGGGGCATCAGGGCATTTTAGAACGATGATTTCACCTCAGGACTCTGGCTCTTGGGAGTGAGCTGCAGAGCCGGGATCACAGGGAGCGGGTGTAGGCAGTGCCCTATTCTGAAATAGGCCATAATTTCATCCATGGCAGGACTCCTCAACCTTGGCACTGTGGATTTTTTGAGCTGGGTGATTCTTCGTTGTTGGGGCTCTGTCCTGTGCCTTGTAGGATGTTGAGCAGCATCCCTGGCCTCGACACGCTAGCAGAATTCTCCTCCCCAGTTGTGATACTCCCAAAACATTCCCATATGGCCATGTGTCCCCCAGGGGACAGAAATCACTGGGGTGAGAACCACTGATGGAGAGAATAGCTGATGGTTCTGTTCTTGCCTCATGACCCTACTTCTTAGTCTTTAGGTGTGTTGTGTATGCCATGGTCAAGCTTGGCAGCTATGTGGAAGGTCAGGCTTTTCGGTATTTGCAACGAGGGTTTTTGAGGGAAGCTCTGTGACCCTTTCTGCATTATTAATTTTTCTCTCTGGGCCTCAGTTTCCTCACTTGTAAAAAGAGGTGTAAAGGAGGCAGGCGGGTTGAGTGAGTTTCCAGGTTAGTTTTTCAACTCTGAAGCTCTAGGCTTTGATCTGGATGCAGACCAGTTGATAATCTGAGCCAAGGAATGGAGAGAGTGCCTATCCGGTCACACGTGGGTATACCCATTGTCTGTTCCCCATCGCACCCTACAGCTGCAGCCAACTGCTTGCTGAACACGGTCCTTGTTTTCACTACCATCTGGCCTGTTTCCCTCCTCCACGGTCCCCACCCACACAGCTCACCTGCCCGGGGCCCATTTTAAACAGCAGCTCCTCTGTCCTGAGTTAATTTTCCATCTGATTGCCACGTGTGAACTCTTTAAACCAGGGCTGTCCAATAGAAATTTGAGCCACAAATGTGAGCGACACCTGTAATTTTATTTTTATTTTATTTTTTTTTAAATTAAATCTTTATTGTTCAGATTATTACATTAGTTACTCTTTTTTCCCCACATATTCTTTTTTTAAATTAAAATGTATCTTAAAAAATTTTTTTTATTGTTGATAGTATTGCAGATATCTCCCATTCCTCCCCTCCGTCTCCTCCTGACACCTGTAATTTTCAATTTTCTAGTACACATATTTTAAAAAGTACAAAATAACAGGTGCAGTGGTGTTTTTAAATTGAATTATTGGATAAAATTGATTAATCATGCTCTGTTAACCGTGATTGCCTTATTCTGGTTAAAGAAAGAACGTTTTAGCCTGGCTTGAAGTTGTATGCCCCGGGACCTGGGAGTCCACCTTGGACCTGGGAGTCAACCTTGGGATTCGGTTCATTCTCATTCAAGAACTGCCTGTTGCCTAGGCTGGTGTGGCTCAGAGGCTGAGCATCAACCTATGAACCAGGAGATCACGGTTTGATTCCCAGTCAGGGCACATGCCTGAGTTGCGGACTCGATCCATGGTGGGGCAGCATATAGGAGGCAGCCAATATATGATTCTTTCTCATCATTGATGTGTCTATCTCTCTCTCCCTCTCCATTCCTTTCTGAAATCAATAAAAATATATAAAAAGAAAAAAAGAACTGCCTAATCTTATGGAAAGATGAACAACCGTGTTGCCCAAACAGTGGAGTTCCACCCCAGCCTGCATAGCCTTCTACCTCCCCATGCCTGTAATCTCTACTTCCCCAGAACTGCCTAATCTTATGGAAAGATGAACAACCGTGTTGCCCAAACAGTGGAGTGCCACCCCAGCCTGCATAGCCTACCTCCCCATGCCTGTAATCTCTACTTCCCCACGTAATCTTTATCCTACTCCATGTAAGCAGCTGGCTTATGGTGGGGTGCAGAGCAGATTTTCATGGATGACCTGCTGCTCTCCCATACTGCCAGCAGTATTGGAATGAATGCTCACGTATGATTCAATCCTGTGTCTGCTGAATTGGCTCAAGTAGTGACAGGCAGCCCGGACCCATTGAAAGAGCCCCTTACCCTGGGCTTGAAGCCTACTGATTGGGTCCCAGCCTCTCCTCTTTTCCAGCCTCACCACCCACCACCCCCTTGCATAGCCTATTCCCCTGGTTTTGTACCAGGTCTTCCCTGGCCTTCCTCATGCCTGCCTTCTCTAGGTGGGTTTTTGTTTCCAAGTCCAGGGCCTGGCCCACAGGGCACTTAGGAAATGTTCCTCGCTGCTGTGTTTCATCCTTCTCGTCCTCCAACACTCTGTGCCTTGGGAGAGACCCTTACTTCATTCCTCCTGACAGCCTGGTCTGTCTTGTGCTTTTCTGCCCTTCCTGCTAGGTTGTAAGTTCTTGTAGGGCAGGGGCAGTGCTCTCCTCAGCTCACTGCACCCACAGTGAAGGAGCGGACAGGGCCTGGGCCATTTGTCCAGCTTCGTCTGCAGCTATGCCTCATCGTAAAGGGAGGAAGTGCAACCTTGCCCACCACATTATTGCTCCAAGTCAGGGGGAAGTGGGGAGAACCCTCAGTCTCGCATCTCTTCCCCAAGGCCGGTCAGCACGGGACCCCAGTGGAATTATCTGGGCATCCACTGCCCAGGAAATTCCTGCAGGCCCTGGCCCTATGTGTCTGTTCTGTTTCCAGGCACAGGAGCAGGATGTGAGTAGAATCATCCAAGCCCTAAATGAGTGCCTTGCTGCTCTTCCCCGGCAGCTGCTCCGCAAAGTCGGTGGCATCGGAGTGTCAGGACAGATGCATGGAGTCCTGTTTTGGAAAACAGGCCAAGGTATGCGGGGCTCCAGGCGCGATCACATGCTCTGAAGAGGCACCGTGGAACGAGAAGCGCTGCCAAGGGCTGTCTGGAGGGGATGCAGTGGCACACGCTGCCTCGTGTTTTGTGTACGTCCTGACCTGTACAGATGTGTTAATGAATCTGAACTATCCATTCATTCGACATCAGCCCATCAGCCAGGGAACAGGAGAGGGAGTTCTCTTGGATTCCCCGTCGGATTCCGTGCTGTGGGTTTTCCGTAGCTTTCTCTGTATGTCAGTGTCTCAGAGCGTCACTGCAGGCAGCCAGGAGGCCGTATCGCTGTAGGAGATGCCAAGACACAGAAGAAACTCTTCTGTTTTTTAAAAATTACTATTAATATAGTCACAGATGTTTGTGATTTCGAAATTCCAGGGTGTGCCCTTTCCATGGGCTCAGTTGCTAGTGAGGCATTATTTAATTGATCATCGTATATCAGGAGGTCTGCCCTAGTGCCGAGGTAGGTGACTTGTTCTGTTTGGCCTCCAGGAGGAGAATTAAGCCAGTGAAGTAGCATTGAGCAATTTACATGCCAAGTGCTAGGCAAAGGATGCTACCTGCATGATCTCATCGAACTTTCCCAACGCCCTGTGATGTAAGCTACATTACTGCCCCCGCTGTGGGGTGAAAAGTTGAGATTCTGAGAGTTTAAAATAATATGCTTGGGGCCCTGGCTGGTTTGGCTCACTGGATAGAGTGTCTGCCTGCGGACTGAAGGGGTCCCAGGTTGGATTCTGCTCAAGGGCACATGCCTGGGTTGCGGGCTCGATCCCCAGAGTATATTTAAAAAAATAATATATATATATATATATGCTTGGGGTCATATGGCAGCAAGTGGGGACTCCAGCTTTTGAACCCGGGAATGTCTGAGTACAGACGCTGAACTTTTAAAGGCCTCTGGGAGGACCTGAACTACAGGGGGCACAACAGCTTAATGAGGGGAGAACTTCCCAACAGCATGTCCCAGGAGGGATTAGACTCCATAGGAAGTTGTGTGCTCCCGGTTATGGCAAGCATTGAAAATATTTTGGCAATTATAAATAATTCTATATTGATGTAAAAGTAAGGAGAATAGTATTAGGGACCAATACACCCATCACCCAGCTTTAAAAATGCCAACATTTTACTGCAGGCATCCTAAGCAGAGGATGGATGGCCACTTTGGGGGGCTGTAGTTAAGGGCATTTGGACGTTGGATTCACCCCAGAGTCAGCGATCTTGCCTCTCCCACTGGCGTCTAGGGCTGCATCCTTAGATGGGCTGGGTGTCCGGATGAGCCAGTGCAGGCTCCCTCCATCCTTCCTTCCTCTCAGCTGCCTGTTGTGGGGACAGCTGGGACCACAGGCGCTGCTCGGCTCCCGTCGGTAGCAGGAGCAGAGGCCGGTTAGGGTGTTAGAACTGACCTCTCAGAGGGAGTCTAGGTTGTAAAAGCTTTTTAAACTCCTTAATTTTGCATTAACGAGAATAAATGCCCTTTTAATACTAAAACCCTTTCCGAAGAGGACAGCAGAGATCTGATGGTTGTGGTCTGGTCCCACGCCTGCCTTTCTGCCCGTCTCCTGGACTCTCACAGCCACACAAGCCATCGCTCTCACTGGAGAGGCTGTTGAATATTTCATGGAGCCAGCCGCATGCCTTTTGGTCTTGTTTTCTGTTTCTGGGAAGGAGGGAAGCCACGGTTGGACGATGATGGTGCCTGCTCAGCAGAGCCGGGTGAAATCAATTTGGGATCAGGTTGTCCCGCTTTTAACGGTGGCTGTAATTCAGTTTGGGTTTAGTACCTACAATATACGGAGTATAAGGCTCTGTGCGGGGCCCCGCGGGAGCCTCAGAAAGGAATGGATGAAGCCCTCACCTTCCAGGGCACACTCGAGGCAGTCAGCATAGATGGGGACCAGTAACCGGCGCAGAGAGCTAAGTGCCTCCACAAGGGTACAGTTGAGGCAGCTGGAGGAGTGGGAGGGAGTGACCAGTGTCTTCTGAGAGGCCTGTGGTTACGCCTGTTTCCAGACTCCATTTTCAGGCGCAGAAACAGCAGGAGGGAAGTGGGGACCATAAAACCAAGCCAAGAGCCAGGCAGCAGACGGGGAGGAAAGATTTGCTGATGCATAGTAGACAGAGGACGCATATGGGTCCATATAAAGAACAAATAACAGAAAGGACAGTGTCATTAGTAATTAGGGGAAGCTCCGATGAAAACAACCGTGAGAAATCATTTTCCACCCACTGGGCCACAAGAAATCAAAATGCCAAGAGTTGGCAAAGGGGTGGAAAATGGGTTCTTTTAAATACCGCTGTTGGGAGTGTCAATTAGCAGCACTGTTTTGAAGGACAGTGTGGCGGGGCCTATTAAAAATAAGATAGCTTCTACTAAAAGGAAGAATAAACAAGACAGCTGCTATCAGTCCACAGCGCTCCTACTTGGGAATCTATTCAGGAAAAGTACTTTAACACACATGTGTGTGTGGGGAGGCATAATCATGGCCGCCCACTGCATCCTTGTTTATGGTAGTGAACACTGTGGCACTTCATCACAGGGGAGCGGTTAAATAATGTTCGGAGGCCCACGCTGTAGAGTGACGTGCAGTAGTTAAAAAGAATAAGGCCCTTTCAGGTATATGGACATGAAAAGAACTCCAGAGCATGTTGTTGAGTGATAAACACAACCCCAGAAAAATAAATGCAGCAGAGTACTATTTTTTAAAAAAATAGACAAAAACAAAATAAAACCCCAAACCCAACTCAAACCAACCAAACCAACCAAACCAACCAAAATGTGTGTGAGCGTAAACTTTGGGCAGTTACCCGGCAAGTGCTGACAGCGACAGGAAGGGGGCTGGACCCTGCGGGAGTCATCAAGCCGGCCTTTTGCTTGATCTGCAATATTTGAACATTTTATATTGAGAATGCATTCACTTGGCGTGTGTGTAATTAAAAAAATTAAAATATCAATTCTTTACAAAAGAAAAGAAAAAAAAGAAAGAACAAACAGGAAAGAGTATCGGTCAGGCCAGATTCTGTACTGAAACAGGCTACGGGTCTACCACTTAGGTGAACATTGGCAAATGATTTTTAACTTCTCTGCTCTTCATTTTTCTTATGTGTAAAGTGAGGCCAATTATCACATCTATGTTATAAGGCTATTATGTCTACTAAATGAATTAATATTTTTAAAGTGCTTTGAATAATACCAGGTATTTGGTAAGGACTCTGTATTTGTTTTATAATACAAAGAAAATAAATGTGATAGTCTAAAAATAAAAATGCCAAGAGAATTTTGGAAGCAGATAACGGGGTTGAAGAAAAGCTGCAGAGATCCAGCTTTAGGGCTGGGTAAGAACCCAGCTTTAGGTTGAGATAGGAATGTGTTGTGAGGGTAGATGACTTTGAGGAGGAGCCACCCATCCCCCAGGAGAAGCATGCTATGCTTCAGGTGCGGGCATCTGTAACACGCTCCCTGGTCTTCTGGGCACTGGCCAGGGAGACCAACCAGAGACTGACAGAACCCTCAGAGTTCTGCCTCTCTGTCACATGCATCCCCAGATCTTCTTCTTCTTCTTCTTCTTCTTCTTTTTTAAAAATATGCTTTTATTGATTTGTTTAGAGAGTGCAAAAGGGAGAGGGAGAGAGAGAAACATTGGTGCCTCCCACGCACACTCCAACTGGGGGCCAAACTAGCAACCTGGGCACGTGCCCTCAGTGGGAATCAAACCAACTGAGCCACGCCTTTTAACCTGCTGTATATTTTTCATAGCAACTAAAAGTACCTGGTATTGTGTATTTGCTGCTTATGGCCTGTATCCCTAGCGTACAAGTCTAGATAATCTCAGTATGATGCAGGTGCAAAGGACAGAGGTTAGGGGACATGAGAGTGTGCTACACTTCTTTTCTTACCTGGGGCGGGGAGGGTTTATAATATCAATTTTTAAAAATGAATAAAAATGCCCATTTGGGAACAGTGGACATTCCAGGCGCTGGGCATGGGTGGGCGGGTGGTAAGTGAATTAGGAAAAGTGGGATAAATGGAGGGAGGGAGTGACTTGCCCAGAGTCCCATAGCTGTCGATGGGGAGCCAGGTGCGGACCCCAGGTGCCCTGATGGGACCATGTGTCCGAGTGGAGCGTTCTCATGGGTGACACGGTCTGCCGGAACCTCACTGGCAGAGCATCTCAAGGACAGGCTGCTGCTGGTCAGTTGCCCTTTTCTCTGACTTTGCGACTCTCCTTTGTTCCAGGCTGTGAATGGACAGAGGGAGGGGCCGCCCCTGCCTTCACACCCAGAGCTGTGAGCCACCTGGTCACGTGGCAGGATGGCCGATGTGGCAGTGAGTTCCTGGCTTCTCTGCCCCGGCCAGAGTCCCATCTCAGTGTGGCCACGGGGTTTGGCTGTGCAACCATCTTCTGGCTTTTGAAAAATAGGTACAGACAACAGTTCTCTGCATCGGGTGCTGTATTTCCCGGGGGCTGCTCCTCCAGCTGGTCAGCATCCCTCCATCCCTCAGTGATGTGACCTAGACTTGGTCTAGAGCTGCTTCGCTCCCCAGAGGGCTCTCTGTTGGTTACCCTGTTCTAACCAGCGGGGAGAGAAGGGGCTAGAGAGGACAAGGGACTTGCCAAGGGTCATGTGGTGAGCTCATGGTGGGGTCAGGGCTGCAGAGAATGGTTGGTGTCCCCTCCCCTAAAGGCAGCTTTGCTTGGAGGGCCACACCTCAGGAGGTCCATTTGGGGGAGCCACACAAGTGGGGTTCTTGCTGCCACTCAGCTCTGCCGTGTCTGGTCCACACTGCCCACCGCTAGGTGCAGCCCAGGCGTTTAAGTCGCCGTTAGACCATGTTGAATTATTTTTGGTATGAAAACAGCCCTGAGTTCCTGAAGTCCTACGACGCAGCTGGCACCATCCATGACTATGTGGTTGCCATGCTGTGTGGCTTGCCAAGACCCCTGATGTCTGACCAGAATGCTGCCAGCTGGGGATATTTCAACACCCAGAGCCAAAGCTGGAACGTGGAGATGTGAGTATAGCCTTGCGGGCTGTCTCCAGCCGAAGGGCAGGACCCCCGAGCGGAGGTTCACTGGGCGTTCCCATTTGGGAACAGTGGGCATTCCAGGCGCTGGGCATGGGTGGGCCTGGTGGTAAGTGAAGCCCTTGGGGAGGGCTGCCCTGCTTCCCCACGGTCCCCAATATCTAGGGTGGGCTCCCTGGTTCTCTGTGACCCGGCCCAACCTACAGATTTCAAAGAACAACTTTCACTCTAGAATATATTTTAAAATAAAGTTAAGAAATGAAAGCAGTAGGTGCAAGAGATGCCTTTTAAGTTCTGTTTAAACAATCATTTGCCTTTTCAGGTCCAGAAGTCCGGTGCCCTATAAGTCCACTTCCTTCAGGGCCCCCATTCTAAGCTCTGTAATAAAACACAAAGCACCTGGTAGTTCAGGTAAAGGACTTTCTAGCATGCTTCATAACACTGACAGCCCCGCTCACTAACCCCGAGTGATGAGTGCATTTGGTATTCATGAGCTGACTGAAGGGTTTGACTTTGGTGTGGCCCGTGCTAACCGACCGTGACTTTGCACTGAAATTCCCTTTGCAGAGTATTTGTGTTCCCTTCAGACACAGGGGCCGGATGCCAATGCCGCCTGCTCTTACCTAAACCTTCCTGTCGCCCTCGACTGGGGATCCAGCCTGCAACCCAGGCGTGTGACCTCCTGGTTCATAGGTCGACAACCACTGAGCCACACCAGCCGGGCCAATGTTCACTCTTTAAAAAATCCCAGCCTATTTCTCATAGTTTTCAAAAAGCCAGAGAGACCCCTGTGCAAGCACTGGCTTCTCCCCTCCCTTCTCCGACTTGTAGCGCTTTCCTATGTTGAGTTTTCTGGAAACAACAAATAGCAGAAAACCAGGCTCTGGTCAATGCGCTGTCCACTTCTCGTTTGCAGACTGAGGGCCTCCGGCTTTCCCGTGCACCTGCTCCCTGACATCGCCGAGCCCGCCAGCGTGGCAGGCAGAACGGCCCATGCGTGGTTTGAAATCCCGAAGGGCACCCGGGTGGGCGTGGCCCTGGGTGACTTACAGGCCTCCGTCTATTCCTGTATGGCCCAGAGGACAGATGCAGGTAAGTCTTCTGCCCTCTCCTCAGACTCCTGCTCTGGGTGAGGGTCCAAGAGGCACACACACCGGGAAGCCTCAGCTGCTTTCCACCGTTATTCTGTGAACGTGAGAAACACCCTCCCCCTGCAGGTGAAGCCCCCGCTCAGGGAGCCTGCACTTCAGCAGGCCCAGCTCTGCCCCTGACCCTGGTCTGTGCCTTTCCTCCCGAGGGCCAGGGCAGGGGATGGCTCCCTAGTTGGCTGGTTTCTGTGTAATTCCATGACCAAGAAAAGAGATGAGGAGACGAGGGTTTTTGACTTTGTTTGTTTGTCAGGTGGAGTTTCGTCTCATCTGATTAAAAGTCTAGAGTCCTTTCTGCATTTGGTGTCCGAGAGCCAAGGGAGCTGGAGGCAGCAGTGTAGGGCTGGGGTTGGCAAACCTTTCCTGCCAAGGGCCAGATTGCAAATACGTTAGGCCTCGTGGCCCATGCAGTTTCTGCTGTTGGGGCGTGCAAGCAGCCGCAGCCGTTCATAAACGAATGGGCGTGGCTGTGCTCCAGTAAAACTCGTTATTGACACCGAGATGTGAATTTCATGTAATTTTCATATGTCATGAAATCTTCTTTTGATTTCTTTTCAACCATTTGAAAATGTAAGCACATGCTTCTGGGATCGTAAAATAGTGCAGCCCCTTTGGAAAACGGTCTAAAACGTGTACATGAACGTCGCTAGCAGCATTATTCATACTAGGCAAAAAGGAGAAACGACCCAAATGCCCATCAACTGATGAACGGATTTAAAAAATGTGGTCCATCCACACAGCTAAAATGCCACAACATGTGCGTGAAAGTGAAAGAAAGAAAGAAGCTTGTCACAGAAGGCCTCCCATCGTATGACTCCATGCCTGTGAAATGTCCAGGATAGACAAATCCATAGGGACGGGAAGGAGTTAATGGTTGCCAGCGCTGACTGCTGACAGATATTCTTTTTGGAATGATGAAAATGTTCTAAAATTAGATTGTGGTGATGGTTGTACAACTCTGTGAGTATTCTAAAATCCCCTGGATTGTGTGCTTTAAAGGGGTATATTTTATGGCAAATTTATGTGAGTTGCCTATCAATACAGTTACTATCACACACAAAAAAGTAAAAGCTGTTCTTATCTCCTGGGCCATACCAGAACAGCTACCTGGGCTAGGGTGGGACTTGGGGCTGCCTGCCGAGCAGGGTGGTTGCAGGATGAGTGTTTCCGTTGATCCTGGGGACAGCCTGGCTGAGCTAGTCCTGGTTGGGAGCCCCTCCTGGTTATCAAGGGGGACAGAGAATGCCTTCATCTTACCCAGGTTCTCTTTGTCCTCACACCTTTTATCCCCTCCACCAGTTAGAACTATTACAATTCAACTCTGAGTTTAAAAAGTCTGACCGGCACTAGCCTCTGTGTAGTAGTTATTCCCCATTTCATTACGTTTTTAAGAAATAATTTCAAGTGACTGGTTTTGGCAATAATTCCTATTAATTCAAGATTAGCTGAGCAGGAAAGGTGAAATTCTGTCCATTTTGTTTGTGATAAAAATCACTTAAGGTCAAAGAGTTCAAACGCCGTTTTCTCCCCAATTTTCAACTAAAATCAGTGCCCCAGGAGAGCATGCTGAGTTTATTCTGTGACTTAATTTTTCCCAGTACACCATCTCTCTCCGTATATCCCTCCATCTCAAAGCGTGGACGGCCGGGAACGCAGTGGGCTTTGGAGTCCAGAATGTCAGCCGCTCTGGGTGACCTGGGCAGGCCGCTTTTCCTCCTGGTTCCTTGTCATCACCTGGTGAGGGTGTCGGTGCCTTCCTCCCGGGCAGTTGTGAAGCATTGGGGTGGTGCCTGCAAAAGCCTGGTTCTTTCTTCCCACCTGGTGGTTTTCAGATATCAGGCTGTTCCCTCCACAGAGGGGTGGATGCCGGCGAGCTTGCTGTGTGGTGAGTGCGGGGCTTGTCGATGGGAAGAAGGTGAGGTTTGGGCTCTGCCTTCACTGAGCGGGTTGTAGTCTCTGGCTGCAGATGGGCTGCTAGCCTGTGCTCAGCTGTGCCATCTTCACGGGCAAAGTTGGTCGACCCCCATTGTGGACATGGCCATCAGAGGGGACAGGCGGAGGGCATGTTGCTTCTGGCTTCTGGTGATGGTGGGAGGCTTGATGTGGCAGGAAGTAGGCGTTATTGGCTTTCTGAGGTTTGTTTTTGCTCTCCTCGCTTCTGACCCCCCGGTGCGGGGGAAGGGGCTGCTGCCTCAGTCAGTCTGGCCCCAGCAGATGCAGAAGAACAGGCCTTTTGGTCAGGTCTTATGAGAAATGGAGAGACTCCTGGAGCATCTGCAGGCCTGGCCTTGAGCTAGAGGAGGAAGTCGGCCCCTCTGTGCTGGGTCTGGGCGTTTTCCCTGCTCGTGGGGAGGTTAAGAAAAACGCCTTGGAAATGAGAGGAAGGAGAACTGGCTGAACATGAGCGAGACCTCCGCAGGGAATAACACGTTTCGGCTGAAGTCTTACTCTCTAAATAGTTGTCTACTGCTGTGTAGCAAATCACTCATGGCGTTTTGCAGCCTAAAAACACCGAACGTTTCTTATCTCACACATGTTCCTTTACGTGTGTTGTGTGTGTGTGTGTGCGCCTGCGTGCACGCGTGTGTGTACCTGCGTTTGAAATTATTTTGTAAACGTCTGTGTTTAAAACAGGTGAAATGGTTCCTGAGAGGCAGGAGTGTGGGTGTGGCTGGAGCGTCTGGCTCAGGCTTCCTCGTGACATTGCAGTTAAGCTGTTGGTGGCCTGGGACCACCCTCATCTGAAGGCTTGACCGGGCTGGAGGGTCCCCTTCTCAGCTCCCTCAGGAGGCTATTAGCAGGGGCCTCAGCTCCCTGCTGCATGGGTCTCCTCACAGCACCGCTCACAGCACTGCCTGCTCCTCCCAGAGCGAGCCATCCGAGGCAGAAGCTGCGTGCTTTTTGTGACCTGTTCTCCATAGTCACACACTGTCACTTCTGCTTGATTCTCCCACTAGAAGCAAGTCACCGAGTCCAGCCCACACTCAGGGGGAGGGCATTTAGGCTCTACCTCCTGAAGGAAAGAAATAGTATCAAAGAAAGAATTTTGGACCTTTAAAAAAATATCTTTTTTGTTGATTTCAGAGAGGAAGGGAGAGGGAGAAAGAGATAGAAACAGCAACGATGAGAAAGAATCATTGACTGGCTGCCTCCTGCACGGCCCCTATTAGGGATCGAGCCTGTAACCCGGGCATATGTCCTGACCGGGAATCTAACCGTGACCTCCTGGTTCATAGGTCGATGCTCAACCACTGAGCCACGCTGGCTGGGCTGGACGTATTTTTCAAACCAGCACGCTCTCCCCTGCCTGGTTGTGACTGTGACCTCCAAGTTAGCCCGACAGACCTAACCTTTGCTTTTCTTGGGCCCCAGTTCTCAACATCAGCACTTCGGTTCAGTTGGCAGCCTCCATGCCGTCAGGGTTCCAGCCAGCGCCGACTCCAGACCCTGCAGCTCCAGTCGCCTACTTCCCGTACTTCGACAGAACCTACCTGGCGGTGGCAGCCTCCCTCAATGGGGGCAATGTGCTCGCCACGTTCGTCCAGATGCTGGTCCAGTGGATGGCGGATCTCGGTAAGATGTGCCCACGCAGCGCTGCCTCTCTGCTTGTCCTTCCCTCGCGCCAGTGAACGTGCTGTTGAAGCTTCTAGATTCACGTCTCAGACCCAGAACTTCTCTTCCTTCCTTGGGAATCTGAGCCTCTAGCTTTCCTCTCATCTCCTGAGCTGCCACCCCCTGTTCTCTCCTGACCTTGACTGTGGGGTGTCAGAGAGTCTCCCAGTTCTCCCCTGCCCTGCTGTCTTACTTTCTTTGTCAGGGATCCCCTGGGTCCCTTGCAGTTGGGGTTTTCCTTCTGATGACTACAGACAGTTGAAAATAAAAGGATCAAACACGGACGAGTGAACAATCTGGTATTTTACAATATTATAAAATCCACACAGACTTAATCCTGAGTCCCTGTCTCAGGAGGGCCCCTGGGGACTTTGGGGTCCTCCTGCTCTCATCTCCAGTTTTCAGGGTAGAGTTGGTTCGGCTTTTCCTCTGCTCTGCACTCACAGGGAAACATGAAACCTCTCCAACCACTTAAGGTAGAAATGAAATTTCCAGTCCAGGGAAATCATGTTGATCAGACTCACTGGTTACCAGTAGGAGCTCAAAATCAGGCCATTCCCAGAATCAGGCATCCAACACGGTCACGGGGAGGCCAGGCAGGAGGGAGCAGCGAGGCTTTTACCTTCAGTCACCAGACAGTGCTGCTGACTCCCGTGGGTCTCAGGGAGGTCGGGGTTGGGGGGAGCTCTGGCCCCTTGGCTGGGGTCTCCCCAGGATGGCTTCATTTACATGACAGGACTCGGATTTTGTTTTGCCTGCACCAGGGGAGGTTTTCAAGATGCAGAACCAGATATGAGAACTGTCCGGCCAGCCCTTTATCTAGGCACTGGTTTAACTGGATTGGGTCTCTCAGTTGTTTACCGACTTGGGCCAGTGTTTCTCTTTCAATAGTGGTGACACTTCTCCTTGCCCCTGAAAGACTTGGGAATATTCACTTTCCCTGTAAGATCCTTTAAAAAAGTCTTTTTGTCTTTTCTTGTTCTTATTTTGAGAAAACGACGAGTGTTTTGAAGGTTCATGTATTCCATGTAACTTAACCTTTTATGAAAATGTTACAATTATGTCTTTTTATTTAAAAATGTATAAATGCAAATACAATCACTTGTACTTAGATAAAAGACACATTTATGAACCAGAAATGGAAATGTTACAGCATAAGGTACAAAAATAAAACTCTTGCTATATTCAGAATACCCTCAATTTGCATTTTGTTCCCAAGGTTAGAATATAGGGTTCTGCACTCGGGTGGTAGTTTAGAGCAGGACCCTGGGGCTGGTGGCCTGGGTTTGAATCTCAGCTCTCCCGCCTCCTGCGTGCCTTTGGGAAGGTTACTTACCTCCTCTGTGCTTTACTCCCCTTATCTGAAAGTGGAGGTAATCCTAGGACTGTGAGGATTGGGTGAGTCAATATTGTGAACACTTAGAACAGCGTCTGGCCCGGAGTGGTAGTGAGTGTGATATGACACTTATTAAATAAGGTTTATGTGGCGGGTTCAACCCAGGGGCGTGACCTCGGTTCCCTGCTCTGTCTCCAGGTCATTGTGTGGACTTGGACGTCCCTTCCCTTCTCTGTCTTCCCAGCTCCGATGTTCTATGATTCTAAGCCCGTGGTGTGGACATTTGGCAACTCACAGCAGTTAATCTCACCAGTAGATTCGGATGAGGCGGTGAGCCAAGGCACACAGAAACGGCCTAGAAGCCAGATCTCCCAGGCCTCCAGCTGTGAACACCTTCCTGCAGGTTCCACAAGGCCTGCGTGGGGCCTGGGTGTTGGCCAGTGAGGAATAACGCTGTAACGGCCCTCCTGGGGGGGCTCAGTTGGTTGGAGTGTCGTCCCATAAACTGAGAGGTCAAGGGGTCCATTCCTGGTCAGGGCACATACCCAGGTTGTGGGTTTAGGGCGTGTATGGGGGACAACCGGTCAATGTTTCTGGGTGTTTTTCTCCCCCCCCGCCCCTTCCTCGCCTTCTAGAATCAATAAACATATCTTGAGGTGAGGCTTCAAAAGAAGTTTTGAGAATGTGCTGTTGCGACAAAGATAGCAATAAAAACATTTTTTTTGAGTTCTTATTAAAGAAATACACATTATTATTTTTAAACTGTAGATTTTATTTGTGTTTCAGTGATTTTTCTACCAATGCCCTTTTCCTGTTCCAGGACTCAATCCAGGATACACATTGCATTTAGTCATCACATCTCCTTAGTCTCTCTGTCTTCTACTTGATTGGTCTGTTTTTCTTTATCTCCTTTCCCTTTCCCCCTATTAGTTGATGGCTTTACATTTATATCTGTGCTTCTAGAAGTTTCCAGCACACTCTGTTTGCTAGGACATGGAGAGACGCGCTCTGATGTGTTGCTGTGCAGTGTAAATTGGTACAGCTTCTAAGCAGGGAGTGTCATGTGCATATCTTTGGACCTAGCAGTTCCCCTCCAAGGACTCAGCCCTACAGATGTTCATGCGTGGACACCTGTAATAGGTTACCCACCAAGTATGTGAGTTTTCTGACATTTTAGTAGAATTTCTAGAGGAAAGACACATACTCATTCAGCAGAGCTTAACCAGAGTCCTGCTGATAAAATTTTGTGCAAATTCAAGGTATTCTGAATACAGCAAGAGTTTTATTTTATTTTTGTACTTTATGCTGTAATATTTCCACTTCTGGTTAATAAATGTGTCTTTTATCTAAATACATGTGATTATATTTGCATTTATGTGGTTTTCAATAAAATGACATAATTGTAAAATTTTCATAAAAGGTTAAGTTACATGGAATCCACGAACCTTCAAAACACTCTTTGTTTCCTCAGAATAAGAACCATGAAAATGCAAACAGACTTTTTTAAAAGGGTCTCTCTCTCTCTAGTTCCTGAACATGTACAATATAGTGTTTTTTTTTTAAAAAAATATTTTTGATTTCAGAGAGGAAGGAAAAGGGAGACAGAGATAGAAACATCAATGATGAGAGAGAGTCATTGATTGGCTGCCTCTTGGGTGTCCCCTACTGGAGATCGAGCCTGCAACCCAGACATGTGTCCTTGACCGGAATCGAACCCGGGACCCTTCAGTTTGCAGGCCGATGCTTTTATCCACGGAGCCAAACCAGCTAGGCTATAGTGGAGTTTGCATAAGTTAAATGTGCTGATGATTTTACTCTCGGTTTACTTCCCTTAGCTGGACATTGTAATTTTAATAAGATCCCTACATGATTCCTATGCATAGTCAAATGTGAGAAGCACCGGTCTAGACTGGTGGTTCTCCACTTCTGCAGGGGATGGCTGGACCATGCTCAGCCCTGGGATCCTGGGATTCTGTGACTCTGCTAATAAGTCCGGTGGAGCTGTGATGCTACTTATTGATCAGTACATGCATGATGGCCCCTTGGGACCAAGGTCTCATAGCTGGTTAGGGCTCGCATAACAACCTTTATATGACCTCTCCCTGAAGTCTGGGCTGGGTCTGCAGTGAGAGAGCTGGCTGAGATCTGGGGCAGAGCATGACTAGTCAGGTTATGTGAGTCCCTGAGCAGGAAGCAGCCAGCCACATTGTGAAGAAGCAGTTAGTAGACCTCTCCTGCCCAGGGAATGCTGTACCGTCTCATCCTGCAGCGAGGGGTGCATGAGCTCACACGTCTTCTCTGTTCCTGGCAGGCATGGAGGTTGAAGAATCCACTGTGTATTCACGCATGATCCAGGCAGCTGCAGAGCAGAGAGACACCTGCCTCACCATCACACCAACCGTGTTGGGTGAGAGGCATCTGCCAGACCAGCTGGCCTCCGTGACCAGGATCTCCTCCGCGGCCCTCTCGCTGGGGCACGTGACGCGGGCGCTGTGCCGAGGCATCGTTCAGAACCTGCACTCGATGCTCCCGTCCCAGCAGCTGAGGGCGTGGGGCGTGGAGCGGGTGGTCAGCAGTGGGAGTGCGCTGTCCAGGAACGAGGTGCTGAAGCAGGAGGTGCAGCGGGCTTTCCCTTTCCCAGTGTCCTTTGGGCAGGATGTGGACGCAGCCGTGGGGGCAGCACTGGTCATGCTCCAGCGAAACCTCCACCAGGAGGAGTCTTAGTGCGCACACCCTTTGGCCAAAGCCCTGTTGCCGATTTTATCTAATTAACATTCCTGATGTGATCCTGGAGCCATCCTTTTCCTGGACAGCTCTGTGGGCAACTTTTAAACAATGTTTGTTCTCAGGCCTCCATCCTGACCAAGGACTTTCCTCCAGGGCACACTCTACTAATGCAGCCGGGAGTCAGCCACCAGGTCCCCAGTCAGTGCCTCTGACAGAGACTCACCTGGGAGCTGGCTGCCAATGTAAAGGTGGAAGAAAGGAAAAGAGATAAGTAACCCAGCTTCATGGTCAGCGGGCTCACCTGTGATTCACTTGTAGGCAAAGAGAAAATAAATGTGGCCTTCAGACACCAAACACGCCTGGTGGCTGTGGCTCCCAGTCCGAAGAGAAGACCCGCCCTCCACCCCGCCTCCAGCTTACGGATTGGTTGTTTCCAGGGATAGGCAGCTCTGATTCGGGTCACATTACTGTCAGAAAAGTCCTTCCCGCCCTAACCGGTTTGGCTCAGTGGATAGAGCATCGGCCTGTGGACTGAAGGGTCCCGAGTTCGATTCCGGTCAAGGGCATGTACCTTGGTTGCGGGCACATCCCCAGTGGGGAGTGTGCAGGAGGCAGCTGATCGATGTTTCTCTCTCATCGATGTTTCTGACTCCCTATCCCTCTCCCTTCCTCTCTGTAAAGAATCAATAAAATATATTAAAAAAAAGAAAAAGAAGAAAAGTCCTTCCCCCTGGACTGGACCACATGAGCCCTTTCCAGTCTCAGTCTCCCCTGGCCACAGCTGGTTGTGCGGGGCAGGCGGGCTGAGGTGAAGATGCAGGGGTCTGTGCCTGCCTTCTTGCCATGGACTCCCCGCCAGGAGAGGAGGCTGTGCTGGGGCGGCCCCAGATCCTCACAACACAGCTGGCCCGAGGGCAGGGAACAGGAAAGGAGATTCGGGGAGCATGGCCAGCAGGGGGTGGGTGCTGTGTGGCCCCACCACTCACATTGTTCCCATGGACTGACCAGCCCCCGCAGGACCCTTTCCCGGGAGTGTGTGCAGCAGTGTGTTTTTGCCTCTGCACAACCTTGGAAGCCTTCAGGCAGCCTCTGAGGCACCCAGGCATGCTCCCCCCAGACAGATGGCCGAGTTAACCAGAGAGGACCCCTTATCCCCGAAGCCCCAGCTCTTCTTTCTGTTGGCGTGGGCCTGAGTCCCACTGGAGTCGGCACAGAGCCTTGCAGGGACCCCGGAGTATCTTAAATCTTCCCTGTGGTTGGCGGGGATGACCATGGCGTGGCTCCCAGGAGAAGGCTGCCATCGCTGTGTCTGCTTCCAGACTCCCCAGGGCCATCCCAGCCTCGGGCAGACGCCGAGGCACCCAGGCAGCTGTGTGTTGGGGAATCAGTCATGCCGTCTGTTTGTAAATGTCTCTTTGTGAATTACGTGATTGTCTGATGCTCTTAAGGTGCCTCTGCCTGGCTGTGCTGATTGAACTTCAGACACTAAAACTCATTCTTCTCCAGCCTTGTCGTTGTCGCTTGAATGAAAACACCTCTCTGCTTTGGGGAGACGGATCACTCAGGAAAGTTGTATAATTTTTCTCTCAGCCAGAGTGAGGTCATCTTGGAGCCCCTGGGGGAGAAGGCCCCCTGCCCCAGGAGAAGCCGAAGGACAGCACAGCTGACAGCCCTGTCGGTCAGGGGAGCTGGCCTCTGACTTCCGTTGCCAGGGGGCTGTGGACGGAGCCTGTAAATACAAGATTGGGGGCGGATGGTGTCCTGCAAGTCCAGGCAGCCCAGCCCAACGTCCAGTGTGGCCGCTTCCCGCTCTCCCCCTGAGGGCTGAGCTTCCCGTGGCCCAGGCTTGTCCGAGAACAGTCCTGCTGCTATTTCTATTGCTCCCCGAGTACCGCTCGCTCCCCTGCCCTCTGCCACATACAGCCTTCCCTGGCAACTGCTATACCCACATCATGTTTATGTGGCTTTCATGTTCTCCATTTTCTTAAGTGGACTGAAAAGCTCCATGAGGGCAGGGTCCCTGTGACGGGTTCTCTGCCCTGTCCTCTTCCTACATTTAACCTGGGCTGGGGCCCATCTTTGGAACATTCTCCTCACAGGGCAGGACCCTGCCCCGCCCGAGGCCCAGCTCAACGCCATCGCCTGCTGCAGCCTCCCTGGCAGCACATTTGCCGCTGCATCACAGTGGCCGCTGGCACCCTGCTTGTCCCTGTTTCAGGGAGCCCCGCTCTGTAAGCATCACCCGCCTTTCTCACCCGTCCTGGCCTCCTTAAAGGCAGAGACCATCTCATTCACCCCACTCACTACCATGTGCTTGCAACGTGCACAGTGGGCCTGCAGGAAAGAGGGCCGATGGCACTGACCTCTTTGCAGCCACAGTTACAGACAGGCTAATCCAAAAGTGAGATATTCGTGCTATGGAGATGTTCACTGGGTGACTCAGAAAACATTAAGCAAATTTTTTTTAAATTAAAAAACAATTAGTCCCAACCTCAAGCTAATGGCCGGATAAGCGCCACAGCCAGCAGATGTGGTTCTCATGCTGAAATAAGGAGGATGAGAGCAACCCTCATGCCTGCCTGGAGCTCTGCCGCTCAGAGCCCGTTCACACCCGTGTCCTCCTTAATCCCCAGCAAAGCCCTGCAAAGCGGGCAGGGCAGGCACTCCCCGTTGGTGTGGATTAAGGAGCAGGCCCAGAGCTTCAGCCGCCGCCCGGTTCATGCAGCCAGTGTCTGGCACAGCCTGGCCTTTTCTCCCGGCTTCCATTCCCTGCCCACAACCTTGACCGTGCAGCGGCTCCTCGCTCTTGCTCCAGTCCCTGCCCTGGGACCCAGCTCTGCAGAGCAGGCCCGGCTGTCAGGTGCAGAGTCAGGTGCTGAGCGGATGCCTGCCCCCCAGCACAGCCGTGAGCCTCTACCCATTTTGGAGCGTGCCGAGCCCTCTGTAGAGCCCTGTCCGTCGCGGGAGCTGGTCTTTCAGACTCAGTGACACCTGGTGACACTCCTGCACAGGCCAAGTGCAGAAAGGAAAAGCAAGTTGCTTTTAGGGTTGTAGTTTGTCATCTGGACCTGGGATCCCGGAGGCCATTCCAAATCTGGGAGGCAAGACACAGAAGTCAGGAAGTTAAAACAAGATTTAGAAAGCTCGAGACCAGACTAGCAGAGTTGTCACTGCCCTTGGGTGGGTGACAGGGACCTGCTAGTGGTGCCTTAATTACTCTCTCTGGGGCTGGGGCTGGCAGCGCCCGGGTCCTGCCCTCCTGGAGGTGCCAGGCTGACGGTTCCCGGCTGTGGTAATCAGGCTTTTCCTGCACATGGGAGTTTGCAGGTTGCTAACTGTGCCAGAAAGTCTGGCTTCAAATCTGCGAGGAGCCCGGGTAGATGAAGCAAATGAATGAGGGCTCCTATTGCCAGGTTGAGAGCTCAGTGCAAGTCAGTGTGCCCCCTGGTGGTACACGAAATGGGAGAACTGGCCCTTCAGGATATTAGCAGTTTTAACGGAGGTCACATAAGACTTGGCCCACCCTGCCCTGGCCGGTGTGGCTCAGTTTGTTGGAGTGTTGTCCCGTGCACTGGGAGGTCATGGGTTCGATTCCGGTCAGGACACATACCTGGGTTGTGGGTTTGATGCCCGCCCGGAGTGTGAACGGGAGGAAACTTCTCTCTCTCTCTCTCTCTCTCTCTCTCTCTCTCTCTCTCTTTTCTGTCTCTCTGTCTCCTTCTTCTCTCCCTTCCTGCCTCTCTAAAATCAATTTAAAAAGTTATAAAAAAAAAAGACTTGGCCCACCCACCTGCACTGCTTCTTGTCCCCATCACACGCGAGCTTGGCGAAGCACCCCCTACTGGAAGTCATTATTAAAACATGATCTATTTACAAGGAATTTTAATGGGTACATCATTACATAAACTCAAGAACACCCTGTTCAAATCATGATCCAGAAAACCACACGGAGGGCGGCGAGGCCCAGCCCTGTGGTCTTGTCCCCTCCGCCATCTCGTGAGTCTTAGCAGAACCGCTGCTCGGTGTCAGTGCCACTCAGAGCAGGTCAGCGTGCTCCTTGGCAAGGCACGGGCAAGGCTTCGAGAGGGGAAATGGAGGGTCTGGAGCTATTAAAATCTGTGAAGCAGGATAGGAACATCAGAGAAATAAGAACTCAATGCAAGCTTTAGGAAGCTCCAGACGAGACCGGTACGCTTACCACTGTCCTTGGGGCAAAATGGGGCCAGAATCCTACTCACTCTCATGAAACTCTGTGAGGGCGGATGAGATGGCGCAGATGAAGTGCTACCCCCGAACCCGCACACTGCATGGGCCCGGGGAGAGCTCACTGCCATTATCGTTGTCATTGGGATCACAGGCACCAATGGCCACGGGAAGGCACAGTTGAGGTTTCTGCAGGAGTGGGAGGTGAGCATTTCAGGCCAGGTCCGTGGGGGTGACGGGAGGTTATTTGAAGGAGGTGAGATTTGAATGACTGAATCTCAGCTTCCATCGGTCTCACCTGTCACCTGGCCTTACAGATGGGCTGGGGCACTGCCTTGTTGAGCTGTTTCTTCAGGACCCCCTGCCTGTGGAGTGGTGGGTTTGGGAGGCCTGAGCAGCGCCCTCCTTCCCTGAGAGCTGAGGTCACAGCTCTGGCTGGTCTGGGCTGTGTGTGGCTAAGTGCACTGCAGCCCTGGCCTGGTGGGAGGAGGGGCAACGGCTAAGTGGTTTCTGAAAAAGGGCAAAAATGATGGGAAAGGCTTTGGGATCCTCTGGGAATCAGAGCTGCGGCAACAGCAGCTGCTACCATCGCTGGAAACGTTTTTCCTTGAGTGCCAGAGCGTGCCCACAGCCCATCCCTGCCAGAGCGGAGCAGCGCGGCCCACGGAGGGGCCCGGGACCCTCGGAGGCAGGGGAGGCAGCTCTCCCCACACCACCCAACTCTCCCTTCAAGTAGCAGCAGCCTGGAGCTCATCGCGCCCTGCTGTTAGAGGGGTGTGCCTTCATCTAGCTGGTGAGTCCCCTTTTGTTATTTGGTGGCCAACGCAGCTGTTAGCTGTGGAATGGCATCGTGAGCTGCCCAAAGCTGGGCCCGGCCATTTGCCAGCTGTGTGACTATGGGCAGTTCAGTTAGCCTCTCAGCGCCTCAGTGATTGCATCTGAAAACTGGGAGAATAACAGTGTCTGCCTCAAAGGTGGCTTGAGGCGTAAGGGACGCTGTAGCTGCGGTGCACTCAGCCTGGCTAATCGCAGGCGCTTGGTAAGTGATAGCGGAGGCCGCTGTTACCCACGGGCTGTGTTTGCACCAGAGTCATCTGGGCAAAGAGGCCGCGGCCGCTGCCAGGGCCAGCGGTTTGTGGCTGGAGGTTTCA